ATTGGTGGTGTTTGGTGTAGCTGTTAAAACAGATTATAGATTATAGCTTAACAGATTATAGATTATGACTTTAATCAGAAGCTGTTAATCTGTTTGGTATAGCTGTTGGATTATAGATTTAAGTTGCTGAGTAGTGTTTGTTAAATAAGCTGTGAAGTAGCTTTTTCAATTAATTTTTATTTTTTATTATTCACTATTTGTCTACATTTTTCATAAAAAATAATAATAATATTTAATAGTCCATTTGAGTCTTTTTCTATTTTTAAAAAAATAAAAAATAAAAAAATCTAAGAGTATAACCGTGAATTAACATGTCCACAGCAGAAGCTGATAATCAGAAGCAAGGGGTGAGCAGCTTCTCAGAATCAGCTTTTTTGACTTAAAATAAGTTGTTAGAATCAGAAGCTGTTTGAAATAAGTTTAACCAAACAGTCCAAAATAACTTTTTAAAAGCCAGAAGCCATAAGTTGGCTTAAAAAAGCTGCACCAAACACCATATCTTGAAACTTTTACTTTTTTTGTATGTAAAGAACACCCTTTATCATTTAAAAATAAAAATAAAAAATCTATCCATAATTCCATTATCACTTAAAAATTAATTCACAAAATAATAATGGTTAATAATTGTTACTTGAATTTTAAAATTTTTATTTGTATAACTCACGTATTTGCATGGATAAAAAACGCTTGGGTGTATATATATTCCTTTTCTTTTTCAGCACATTTGTTTTTACTTCTAAAATCTAATCAATCATATTTATTAATTGAAGAAATTATTAAAGAAAAAAAAAACATTGTAAGATTTGATCTCAGTAACAAATTAAATTTTAACATTTTTTAATTATTTTAATTTAAATCCTAAACTTTTAAAATAGTATTAATTCTAATTGCCGTTAGCTGTAGTTAATGGAGAATTGGCAATATAGACAATTTAACCACTTTTTTCCCTTCATTTTTGTTGATAGCTTACCTTCAACCTTTATGGTCGTTCATCACCACCCTTTCTTCTTTTCTAATCCAATGCCTCCGCTACTCCTCTCATTCTCCAGCTCACTGCAACCCATCTCATTACTTCTTTGGTCCATAATTGCTGCCGTCATCCAACTTCACAGGCAAAAACTAATTAAATTATTTAAGTTGTTCTTATTAACTAACAAATTGTTAGAATTGATAATATTTTAAAAGTTAACCGTTTAAATTGATTTAATTACAAAATTACGGAATTAAATCTGACAATTATTTATTTATTTAATATTTATTTATTTATGGTGCTGTTCATTCATGTGACTCTATTCATTTGCAGTGTATGCTATCAATGCCCTATTTGGACGCTTTCCACGGACATCAAAGCTTGATGGTGCTAGTGAATTCTCAGCTTCCGATTGCAATAACAGGTTCACCAATTTGGTGAATTGCGACTGTTACAATGCAACGTGCACAGTTACAGGACTGTACGGTCTTCCTTAAACAACTTTTAATTTTCTGTTTATATTTATAAAACTTGGGTTTAAAATTTTAAGAAAAAAATAGCTTAGTATTTATTTTAATTTTTAAAAACTTGTGAACCGCTTACAAAATTAGGAGATGCTATTATATGCAATTCCTAACAACATGATAAAATTTTACTACATAAATCATAAAATGATATATAACTTCCTCACCACAAAAAGAAATGCGGACAAATATTTATTTATATAAACAAAAAAATTAGAAATACATCTCTCTATATATATTTGTGCCAGATTTCTAAGACACCAAAAGTTTTCTTCTAATCAAAGTCCTTAGAATTTCAAATTTTAAAAAGTACTACTATTAACACCCTAATTAATACTTTGGACCCCACTTACAAAACTCAAAACCCTAGAAATTTCTAACAAGCCCCAGAATAAAATTAAAATTATCCTTCAAAAAAAATCAAACCTACCGAAATGCACACCCCTAAAAACCCTTCATCTCCCAAAACTCTTAACAGTTGAACTCACCAATCTTCCTCTCATTGTTGAACTCACTAATCTTTCTCTCATCGTAGAGAGAGCTGCGTTGTTGATATTACCATCGTTGATCTCTTCGTTGTTGATCTTTGTCACAGCTAATCTCTCTCATCGCCGCGTCTCTCTGTTGTCGATCTCTCTGTCGTCATGTTTGGACCTGTGTTGCTGAACAAATTACCTACGGTCAAACTTGTGTTACCAAATAATTTGTACATGTTTGGACATGTGTTACCAAACATTATAAAAATGGAAAGTCCTGTGTTTGTGAACAAGTTTGGCCCATCAAAGTTCAACAAACAAAGATAAGTATGCATCAACCAGTTTGATTAACAAATAAAACTAAATTTCACCACACAACAAAAACATAAGTGTGCGTTAAGGTTACATCCAAAGTGCTGAATATATGAGTAAAGAAGTTCGGATAAGTGCTGCACATATGAATAATATTTAGTTAGACGTTACCGAACTAATGCCTTTTAATTCAGCCTTGTATTGCCATTTTTTTGGTATATGTTCTTAAGTTCAGTACCCAAAAAAAGTCGAATAGTTTTCACCATTTTTTTTTTTGGTTGTATTTTTGTGTTTTTTAAAAAACCTTTTCATTTCAAGGTCAACGTCCTCGAAGTTGCGAACATTTCCTCCGAGTTTACATTGTGATGCTCTATTCGCCTCATGGTATTGGGATTGTCGGAAAAACTTTCACTCATTGCCATTGTCGTAGAAGTGTGTAACCGTTGTTGCCGAAAGACTAGCCGCTTGAGGGTTTTGAAAGGTTCGGACCCGGGTTTGGATGCCCATGGTGGCATGACCCATGATCCATCAGGATATCCATATAATTTGAATTAACTACCTTATCCAAAGGATATGGATATGAGCTTAACAAACCCATCTCATCAAGAAGATTGAGACGTGAGTAGTTAGAGACTCTTTGGTTACTAATCAAATACGTATAACATATTATGATTAATCGAATATCATTCAAAAAATATTCTCTCTCCATTTCTCTGTCATTCAAAAACAATAGCATTTGTATCGTAGAATATTGTGAGGGTGATACTTACACCGTAGTAATCACTTCATTTGGAAGCACGTGATTCATCCTAAGTTTTATTGTTTTGAAATCAGGACATAAAATTTATGTCCAGATCCATTTATCTGCTACGTAATATTCATTCTGCAGTTTGTGTTTTCACTTTTATGTTAAAAATGTTGGAACAATCTTCTGTGTATAATAAATAACTAAAACAAATTAAATAAAACAAAATAAATTACTTACATAATTTATTTACCGAAACAACTTAAGGACAAGAATGATCAAGTCGAGTGTGTGACACTCTATCCTTAAGACAGATTCGTCCCGTTCAGGTGCTTACAGAATAATGGCTTCTATCTCCTAGGATACACTGATCTTTTACATATTATATTAGCACTAAAAACAATCTGTTTCGGCGAATTAGAACCTGTGTTCTATACTCTCAGAAATTTCTCTAAAATTAATATGAAGAATATATATATATATGCAACAGAACAAAACAGAAGGCAAGAAGAGAATTTCAGAATGATGAAACTGCTGAAAGAATTCTTGTATTTATAAGCTAAGTGGTGACTTTTTGGAAGGGCCGAACAGGTATAAATTCAAACTAAATAGGTCTTATTTTTGAATTAAACCGGTTCAAACTATTGAAACAGTTTTGAATCTGTCTGGGAAAGAACTTGAATCAGTCTGGTGTAATCTGTTAAAATAGTTTGAAAATCCATTTGAATCTGCTTAGACTGGTTTGGAAAGGACACATTGGTTGGGAGCAAAAAATTTGAATTCAAACTGTTTGGTGCAAAATTTAAATTTTTCCTGCAAGAATTTTGGAAAAATTTAAATGAATTTTGTTAAAAAAAATTAGGTTAGGACTCAACACACAACCAACACGGCACGACTCAACCAGCTGAACGGACGGACGGACGGCAGCGGCGGCGGCGGATCGCACGCGTGTGTAGTGGTTTGAGCCAAAACCCACTTTGTCCATAACTCCTCCTTTCCACAAACTTGGGCTGCCCCTTGGGGTCCAACCTAAGTATGTCCACCTAAAGCTTATATACTCACATAAACTCTCTTAAAGTTTCAATGTGGGACAACCAATTTAAGGAAACTCACATTTAACTCTTTAACTTTCCATTTCACGAACCCGAAAATGACATCAACTTCCCATTTACTCATAAATGGTTTTGATGAACCGTCTGCACCGTGTGACTTGTCATGCGGTAAGGAACACGTCACCTCTTTGGACCCACCCCAAAACACGTGTAGGCCCCACTCAAATTTGGGCTTAAAGTTGGCCTAAAATAAGCCTATAAAACCATAATTTCCAACAATCCCCCATATGAATGGAATTTGACGGAGAGAAAATACAACAACATGATCTTATTACAGATGTACAGAAATCAGAGATATTCTGCAAAGGATAAGTAGTTTTTGGCTTTGAACATTCCCTTGTGAGACACTATCGGATTTACTAGCTAACCAGTGAACATAATGTCTTGAACTGCTCAGCTATTTGTATAAACCAAGACAATAAAGCTTACACAGTATATCACCAGACACAGTTTAGTTCTCACTATTGTGTTCATTTTGGCCCTGAACAACTTGGTCTTTCATGAGTGCTTTAGAGAATTGTAGCCCTTCACAAATCTCATAAGAACCGGCCCAATTCACACTCATATAAGTAATTCTTATGAAGAGTATCCTGCCATACTCCATTATGTATTCCTAGATATAAGAATCATTAAAAATATTACTTAATCTAAAACGCTGCAGACATCACTATTTCATCATAGAAATGGGTAGGAGTTTGACTCAAAGTGATCCTTATGGGTCATACACAACTCGATTGTCCTTTTGAACCTATATCTTTGAGATCTCCAGTTAACTAGGTTGGGTTGCCATTGTGTTAACTCTTATTTAATAGCCTTAAGTCCCATTCCCCTCGATGAATTCTCAACTAACTCTTTTGCTAACCCTTTTGGTTAGTGGATCCGCTATGTTGCCTTTAGACTTCGCGTATTCAATAGTAATAATTCCATTAGAGAGTAGTTATCTAACGGTGTTATGTCGATGACGAATGTGTCGTGACTTACTGTTATATATATGCCTCTGTGCTCAACCTATTGCTGATTAACTATCACAATGTATGCATATAGTAGGCATCGGTTTCGGCCGCATTGGAATATCTTCAAGGAAGTGATAAAGCTATCTTGCTTCTTCCCCAGCTTTATCTAAAGCTATAAACTCTGATTCCATAGTAGACCTAGCAATGCAAGTCTGTTTGGAAGATTTTCAAGATACAGCCGTACCACCAAGAGTAAAGACATACGTACTGGTGGATTTTGAGTCTTTAGTATCTGATATCCAGTTTGCATCACAGTATCCTTCAAGTATTACTAGATATCTAGTATAATTTAGCCTAATGTTACGAGTAAATCGGAGATATCTTAGAACTTTTATAATAGCTTTCCAGTGTTCTATTCTTGGATTACTCGTATATTTACTTAATTTACTTACTACATAGGCTATATCTAGGCGAGTGCAGTTCATCAAGTACATTAAGCTTCCAATAATTTGGGCATACTCTAATTGAGAAATACTTTCCTGCACATTTTTAGAAAGAAACAAATTATCATCCGCAGGTGTTCTAGCAAGATGATCATCATCTTTGCAAAATTTGTTAAGTATTTTCTCAATATAATGTGATTGTGACAAAGTATATCCTTTTGATGTTTTGGTAATTTTCATACAAAAAATTACATCAACAATCCACATGTCCTTCATGTCAAAATATTTATTCAACATTTTCTTGGTAGTTTTAATCATGTCATTATTACTACGTACGATGAGCATATCATCCACATAAAGACATACTATAACATAACCTTTGTTTGTGTTTTTAATATAAATACATTTGTCACATTCATTAATTTTAAATCCATTTGACATCATTGCCTTGTCAAATTTCTCATGTAATTGCTTTGGCGCTCGTTTTAAACCATATAATGATTTTACCAATTTACACACTTTTTTTTTTCTTTCTTTTCTTAGAATAGAAAATCCTTCTAGTTGTTTCATGTAAATTTCTTCATTTAACTCACAATTTAAGAAAACTGTTTTCACATCCATTTGATGAATTTCTAGATTGTACAAAGATGCAATGGCAATTAGCATTCTAATGGATGTTATTATAGTAACTGGTAAGTATGTGTCAAAGTAATCAAGACCTTCTTTTTGTTTATATCCTTTAACCACAAGTCTTACCTTGTATTTGTTAATTGATCCATCCACTGTCATTATTCTCTTGAAAATCCACTTGTACTCAAGAAGTTTACAACTTGGTGGCAAATCCACCAATTCCCAAGTGTAACTTTGCAAGATGGATTCAACTTCGCTATTTACAGCCTTTTTCCATAAAGGAGCA